TCTAAATATCCCAGCCACAGGTCATGATTAGGATAAAGGATATTCACGCACTAATTAAATCACAACAACTGTGCAGAGACATACAACAGATTCAACCTCAAAGCCTGCAGAGGGACCAACGCCGTGAATACCTTCATTTCCGACTTGCGAGAATTGTGAGAATACATTTCTGTTTTAAGCCACAGTTTGTGGTACTTTGTTACCACAGCCCTAGGACTGAGGTACACATACATATATTACACACCTGGGTGTGCGCACACACACACGCGTGAGCACGCACACCCAATTAAGGAAAGTGTCTATACAAGAGGTTTACTCTCTGACTGCTTTCATGAAATCACAAGCTCTCTACGGAGTTACCCACTTTCGCATTGTTAATTCACTAATTGAAAAACAGTATTTACATCCTTCCCTCATTTGAACCGCATCTTTAAAATCATCTAAATCTTGTGAGTTGGCTCTCTTCACTGTAACAATAAAATATCAACCAAAATGCATCACACAATTAAAAGCACATGTTACCCACTGGGATGGAGCTAAAATGCATCTGATGTATCTGCTGAAAAATAGGCTCAGATCTGGAGACGGCTCTGCACCAGAAATGTTTCTACCAAGAGAGAGCTCTCCCCTGAAGACAGGAAGGCCCTCACCACCTCACCCCTCCCAGCAATCTACATATCCTAGCTACAGGTCAGGATTAGGACACAAAGGATATTCACGCACTAATTAAATCAGAATTGCACAGACACGGAACAGATTCAACATTCAACCTCGAAGCTGCAAAAGGAACCAACCCCGTCAACACCTTGATTTCAGACTTCTAAGAACTATGAGAATACATTTCTGTTTTACGCCACACTGTGTGTGGTAGTTTGTTACTACAATGCTAGGACTGAAGTACACATACATGTACTACACACCTAGCTGTACATACACACATACACACACACACACACACACACACACACAATTAAGGAATCTGTCAATGCAAGAGGTTTACGACCCCATCAACACCTTGATTTCAGACTTCTGAGAACTATGAGAATACATTTCGGTTTTAAGCCACACTGTGTGTGGTGGTTTGTTACTACAGTGCTAGGACTGAAGTACACATACATGTACTACACACCTAGCTGTACACACACACACACACACACACACACACACACACAGAGTTAAGGAATCTGTCAATCCAAGAGTTTTACTCTCTGACTGCTTTCATGGAATCTCAAGCTCCCTACCGCGTTACCACTTCTGCGCTGCTAATTCACTAACTGAAAAACAGAGTATTTACATCCTTCCCTCATTTGAACTGCATCTTTAAAATTATCTAAATGTTGGCTGGATGTGGTGGCTCATGCCTGTAATCCCAGCACTCTGGGAGGCCCAGGCGGGTGGATCACTTGAGGTCAGGAGTTCAAGACCAGCCTGGCCAATATGGTGAAACCCCACCTCTACTAAAAATACAAAAAGTATCCAGGCACGGGGGCACGCACCTGTAATAGCAGCTACTCAGGAGGCCTCAGCAGGAGGATCACCTGAACCCTGGAGGCAGAGGTTGCAGTGAGCTGAGATCGTGCCACTGTACTCCAGTCTGGGTGACAGAGTGAGAGACTCCGTCTCAAAATAAATAAATAAATAATATGATCCAAATCTTGTGAGTTGGCTCTCTTCACTACAAGAATAAAGTTCAACCAAAATGCATCATACAATTAAAAGACAGCAGATATTACCCTCTGGGATGGAGCTAAAATCCATCTGATGTATTTGATGAAAAGCAGGCTCGGATCTGGAGACAGCTGTGCACCAGAAATCTTTCTACCACGAGAGAGCTCTCCCCTGAAGACAGGAAGGCCTTCACCACCTCACCGCTCCCAGCAAGCTACATATCCCAGCCACGGGTCAGGATTAGGATATAAAGGATATTCACGCACTAATAAATCAGAAGAACAGGGTACAGACATTTAAGAAGCACAGGGAGAATCCAAGGAACTATCTGGACAGGCAGATACACAGCAAAATGCCTTTCATTCAAAGCAGCTGCCCAGTTGATCGCTCTAGCAGTCATACGAGGAAAGGGGGGCTGATGAGAAGGGAGCAGTACACCAAGAAATGGGAAGGTCACAGAGCTCACTCAAAATCCAATCCCTCAACCGGGCGCCGGCCACTCCCACCATCGGCTGTGCCCTCACCTTTGTGTGGGTAACTAACCACAGGTGAGGTTGGGCCATCGTGGGCTTTGTCAACCTCCAGCACTCCCCTAGGACAACACATCCCTTTGATATTCTCCACACCTCCAGGCGACAGCACAGTAAATTATATCCCAAACCCACAACACTCTATACCTAAAGCTTCTCAATTAAGCAAAGCACGGGTAATTGATCAACACTCACCGGACAAAAATTGAAATCACTTTCCAGGTACAGGCTCCCTGAGCATGAGAAGGAATTTCAGGATGGCAGGACCATGGTATGAAAGAAATCACGGCTTCTCATTCACTTTCTTTCCCAAACAGCAAGTATGGCTCCCTTCACTACAAGTTACATTACAACAAGCTGTGGCTCCCTGCTGCCACTGTCATGAGGCACACAGTCAAATGAACAGGAAGTAAAAGTCCGTTCCCTGGTCTCATTAAGAGGGGCAAAGACAGTGTGGAACCACCTGCTTGGCTCTACACGGGAACGGTGGCTCAGCCATGAGAAGAATGAATTCAGCAGGACTAAGAGTCTTCCAGGCACGAGGAGCCACATATTCATAATTCTTTCAGCACCCGGGGGACCTAGACGCACACCCACTGGGGTGCACCTGGGTGTCTGCTGCAGTCAGCTCCTCACACTCCCACAGAACAATCCCTGGGGCCATGAGCGAAAAGATGAGAGGCCACATCCCCAGGGAGAGCTGCTGCAGGGCATGAGAAAAGGTCAGGGATCATGATCTTTCCCCTGACCCAGGAAGCCTTGGGCATGGGGCCCCATGGAGGGGATGAGCTAGTTCCACTCTGCAGATGAAGAAAGGGAGGTACTCACCCACGCTCCTACTCTTAACAATAATGTATTTTTAAAAACCATAGACAATACTACGAAATTTCAATGGAGTAAAATGTACTACTTGAAAAATCAAAGAAGCAGGGCTATTAGCGATCAGTTTAGGTCCCCCCAAAATCCTTCCTTTTGATGTATAGACGTTCAAGAGAAATGCCTTGGTGTTAGTCAAAATGTAAGGGTCAATTATGCACTGCAAAGACATCACAGCTGGAACCAAACACAACGGAACACACTGTGAATGCCCAGAGGGAAAAAAGCAAAAAGCCCATAAAAATGCCCAAATAGCCATACAGCAGAAAGGCTACCATGAGGGAGGCGTGGTCCTTGTTCTTACTCCAGAGACCCAGGGCCTCCAGCGCTGTCCCACCAGACACCTGAACCCCAGAGCCAGGGACAGCCAGAGCAACAGCAACAAAACCAGAGCCCCACCCACGTCTAACTTCCTGTGATCCCAGGTTGAAATGCACAGAGTTGCAGGGTCCTGAAGGTAGATTTACTTGGAAAAGGTGGTCATTTCACTGGCAGGTGAGTTAACCTCTGTATAACCTCTACAATAGCGAGCCCTGAGAAATACGTGGAAAACCCAAGGAAACATCTCTAAAAGATTCTCTAGCTGTCATCAGCTGACTGTGGCTAAACTTCAGACTCCAACACAAAGGAGCAAATAAAAGCCATCAAAACCCAGGGACGGAGCCTTGGCAAAATGTGGCCTTTGCTCGTTTCTCCAAATCATGCCATTTTCTAGCATCTGTATGCATTTCTCAGTGGAGAGGCAAGCTTTCTCTTACTGACCCCCACATACGAGCCTTCATTTCCATCTCTCATCTTCCTAAATCATCATTTCCGTACGGAAGGTCTTTTCCTGAAGTGTGAGGTGTTCATTACATGACTGCACAATTCTGCAAAACAGTGGCAGAGCCTCAAGCCACTTCTATACTTTTCCGAACGGTTCCACAGTATTCAGGACAAGAGTTAAATGCTAGGACAGGTGTTACAGGAAACAGGTGAAGCTACTTGGGACTACTGCTAAAAAGACAACTAAGGGACAAAACAGGGTGGAATGTTCAACTGAAAAAAAAGATAAAATGAAACAAAATAGGATGGTACACAGAACAAGGAGGGAAGGGAACGCTACAGTACAAAGTGGTGCCTTTCCTCTCTCTCCAAAACAAGACAAGCGCTGCCATGAAGAAAATGAATAGTTACCTGCATCCATATCTGCAAAGAATGGAACAGCCAGTAAGAAAAAGAAGGAACCAGAAATTCAGTGTCTCAGAGTTGGATTTAACAAGGTTACATGGAGAGAAAATTTCATTTAGAAAACTGCTTGTCAACTACACCCCTTCATTAGGGGATGTGGGAGCTAAATGCTTTCCTATCATTATCATAACTTTATTTAAGGCAAAAAATAAAATATGGACATGTTAACTGAAGAAGTAAATGCCTAATGGCAAAAAAAAAAATCTTACTCTCATGCAAAATGATTATTAAATGTTTATAAATATAAGGGGGGAAACATACTCAAACATATGGTGGTGGTAATCTGAACGTCTCATCCAGAAAGGCTCATATCTATAACTAAGTAACATTACATACAAATTATGTATAAATTCAATATCCAGATCACAGAAATGTCCAGTCAATATTTAAAGGAGTAACAGTGGATAAAAAGGACACTGGATTAAAAACGACATTTGAAAGGACAGAACAATTAGATAAGAAATAAATTCAATGGTATTTCATGGTTCTACTGTACTATTCCAAATATCAAAGTGAATATAATGGGTTTGCTAGAAATACTACAGAAGAAACCGCATACTTAAGGGTTTTTACTGCTTGGTATGTTTTATTGCTTTCTTGACCTGTGATACATCAAAGTCATGATTTACAATATGCTAAGGAAAATTTTTTAAAAACTACATTCTTAAGCTTGCAACTGCCTGCCAAACAGCATACCTTCCGGAGACTCCTCCTGGACATAAGTGCCCGTCAGGTACCGGTGCACCAGGGCAGACTTGCCGCTGGCCAAGTTACCCACAATTCCCTGAAACAGAAACGGACAACCGTTAAGCATAAGCAAATCACTCTATTTGGCATATTGCAAATACAAAGAGGCTAAAATAGACAGGAGGCCTAAACACAAACATAACCAAGCACTGGCTGGATGGCCAAAAACAAGCTCGTTCACTACTTCTATTGGAGTAAAAGGGAGTCCAACACTCTTAATTAACATCTCACGTTCTCATCAGCCTCAACAGCTGCAACGGCATCAGCAATGCTGGTATAAACACTGGTTTGGTATTCTTCCAGAAAACAAGCACATTGCTTACATCAGGGCTGTGTTCCTTGAGTTTGCCCACCGGCATCTACTGTGCACCCTCCAGAGACAGGGAAAAGCAGCAGGTGAGGTGGCATCCAAGGGCAGAGCTGAGTGACGTGGGCAGAGTGGCGAGGACCCATGCAAGGCAGCATCTCTAGGGAATGAGTCTAGGGTAGACTTGGGGGCAGGACAACAGGAGCAGAAAAGAGCAGTGTGGGGAGACCTGGGGGTGGAGCAGTGAGGCAGGGGCCGGCCATACAGGTAAGGAAGGCACACACCTGCCTCCCAGACACAGGACCCACCACGGCATCTCCGAGAAAAAGGGGACGGTGCCGGGGCTGCGGGGAGAGACGGCAAAGGTGCTCGTTTGTGCTGGATTAGAAGGTGACCCTCAGGAGTAAGGGTGACATGAGGGCCGCTGTCCTAGCAGTAACCTGGCGGCGAGGCTGACGCTCCAGGGACTTCTTCAGAGGAAGGCTCCCTGTTGACACAGTGGACACACCTGGCCTCCAAGCCTCCAAGTGGGCGGATCCCACAGGAAGCCTCCCTTTCCCTGTGCCTGGGAGCTGTATACCCCCGACGCTGCCTTCTGTGGGAAGCTGCTCATCAAAAATCTCCTGCATTTTAATATTTTCCTCCCCCACTAGAACATTGCTAGCGATCAAATTTAAGCATGATCGAACTGATTCCTTTAAAAGCCCAAAACATCACAAGGGACCCATCCTTGGGCACAGGTGCTCATTAAGGCCACCTGCCATTCCCAGAGCTGGGACTTGGCCCCACTTGCTCTTGGCCCCACTTGCTCTCGGTTCCACTTGTTGACCTCCCTCCTGCCTCCACTCAAATTATCTGAAGCTCTGGCCCTGTTGCTACCAGGAAACTGCCCACTAGGTCACCTGTGACTTTCATTTCAAAGCCACTAGCCTGTCTTGCTCTGACCTGACCCCATCACCGGTAGCTGCTGCTAAGACACTCTCTTCCAACTCTCACACTGGCTTCCGCCTCTACCTCCCTCCCAGCCCTGTGGGCTCTTCCTCCATCTGCCGCCACACACTGGGGCTCGCCAGGGCTGCATCCTCACATCTCCAGCTGATCCTCCACTCTAATGTCCCAACTTGTGCCTGTCCATATCCAACTTTCTCTCAATGAGCTGTGATTCCATTTAAAAGGAGATGCCCTGCAGATTCTGGAATCATAGCTCGTTGACAGAAGGTTGATGTGGGGAAAAAAGCGGCCTATTCCCAAAATCTCATCCCCTGGCCGCCGTCTACCCCAGCTCCAGGCGCCCCTATTCAGCTCCCACCAGGACTTCTTATATATCCATACACCACCTACGTGGTGCTCACGCCTCGACGAGTCCACACCTCGCCTCTCTCCCCCAGACTGCTCATCAGCCTCTGAGGCCACATCACACCTAGCCTCTCAAACCAGAAAGCTGGAGGCCAGCCCCGACTCCCTCCTGGGCACGCTGCTGCCACCTCGGTGTGGACTCTCCGGTGTGCACAGATCGAGGAGGCAGCCTCTAGGGCCTCTCCCTACCTGCAAGCACCTGCTTTTCATCCCGAGAACACCAGAGAGGTTCCTGGAAACAAAGTGACCATGAGAAAGTGGCATTCCTTCATTTCACAAGCCCTGGGAGACTCCTGCTGCCTGAGGCCAAACTCCAAACATTTTAGGAACAAACTGTCTCCCTCCAAATCCTCACACACAACTTTGCTGGCAGCTAACGGACCCAGCAGGTCCGTAAACTTGCCACAAGAACACTTCACTACTCCTGTCACCTGAGCACCCCTCCCCTCTCACCTGATGAGGGCTTCACTTGCTCTTGGGAAGGCTTCCCTGCTTTCCTCCCACCCCCAGAGGGCCTTGACAGTGGCTGGTGAGGCCCTGGGCTCCACCTCCCACTACACTTAGGACCCTGAGGGCCAAGATCTCTGTCTCTGGATACCGGCCAGGACACCAACTCTGACTCTGTACACTTGTCATAGTTCCTGGCCCCAGGAGAGGCCTGGTAAACACAAGATGGGTCGATGGATAGATGGATGGCAAGGAAGAAGGATGGGAGGGAGGGAGGAAGGAAGGAGAGAAGGAAAGAAAGGGGAGAGGAGAGGAGGAGAAACAGGAGGGAGGAAGGACCATTGATTAAGTAGATGATGAAGCCAATAGCTATAAGAACAAACAGGGCCGGGTGCGGTGGCTCACGCCTGTCATCCCAACACTTTGTGAGGCTGAGGCGGGCAGATCACGAAGTCAGGAGATCGAGGCCATTCTGGCTAACACGGTGAAATCCCATCTCTATTAAAAATACAAAAAAACTAGCCGGGCGTGGTGACACACCTATAGTAGTCCCAGCTACTTGGGTGGCTGAGGCAGGAGAACCGCTTGAACCCGGGAGGCAGAGGTTGCAGTGAGCCGAGATCACGCCTCTGCACTCCACTCCAGCCTGGGTGACAGAGCGAGACTCCTTCTCAAAAAAAAAAAAAAAAAAAAGAAAGAAAGAAAGAAAACAAACAAACAAACATAGAAGAACAAATTTTGCATGAGAGTGTAGAAAAAAGGTTCTCAGTGATTTACAGGCCGCCGTGGTCTGCTGTCTGAGTGATGGCTTATGGATCCAAACGTTCTCCTTCACCCAGTCATGGCCACTCCCACTCTCTACTCATCAGCCAGAGTGGCCTTTCTAAAACCTATACCCAGTCCTTTCCTCTCTTACACCCCAGTTACAACCCTCCTGTCTCTCACCTTCCTGCTCTCTCTGCTCGGCCTTCTAGTCAATCAGCTACCAAGCCCCATCCTAACAGGCCTTGCTGTCTCCAGGTAACTAAAGCTTTCCACATCAATCATTCCCTGAAACCTACTCTTTCTATCAGTTCGGATGTCACTTCCTCTGAGAAGCCTGCAGCTATGGTAGGAATGTTTAGGCTTCCCCCTCCTACCCACACACTCCTGGTCAAACTCGTATGTTGAAACCTAACCCCCGGCTGGACATGGTGGTTCACGCCTGTAATCCCAGCCCTTTGGGAGGCTGAGGCAGGTGGATCACCTGAGGTCAGGAGTTCAAGACCAGACTGGCCAACATGGTGAAACCCCACCTCTACTAAAAAACACAAAAATTAGCCAGGCGTGGTAGTACATGCCTGTAATCCCAGCTACTCGAGGCTGAGGCAGGAGAATCACTTGAACTTGGGAGGCAGAGGTTGCAGTGAGCTGAGTTTGCACCACTGCACTCCAGCCTGGGTGACAGAGCTGACAAAAAATAAAAACAAAATAATAATTTTTTTAAAAAAGAAACGTAACCCCCGAGGTGATTGTATTACGAGGTGAGGCAGTTGTGGCAGCAGATTAGCGCCCTTATAGAAGAGGCCTGGGAAAGATCTCTTGCCTCTTCCTCCACGTGAGGACACAGCAAGAAGATGCCACCTACAAACCAGCAAGCAGGTCCTCAGGCATCAAATCTGCAGGCACCTTGATCTTGGACTTCCCGGCCTCCACAACTGTGAGCTACACATTTCTGTTGTTTATCAGCTGCTCCGTGTATGATATTTTGTTACAGGAGCCGGAAGAGACGAAGATACCTTCCTAATGCCACAGTCTCAATTGGATGCCTCTCCTGAAAGCTCCCTTAGGCCACTGCCCCAAGGACATCTTACAAGGGAACACATTATTTTGGAAATAACAGTATGTTGATCTGGCTCCCTCCAATACTGACAATTCCTCAAAGGCAGGCACCCTGTCTTACTTGTCTTGTTCTCTGAATTCCTGAGTAACACAGAGCCCAAGGTAGATGCTCAACAGCACTGGCCGAGTAAATGAACGACTCCACTGCTGGTGAGTATGAATGAGATGCTTATTACTAAGGCTCAGATCCAGGCTCAAGTCAGGCTGTGTGGACAGATTCTAAAAAAAGCTGTTTCCCCTCCTAATTCGACATACATCTTTTTTTACCCTGGGGCCTCTATAATCTGAGAATTTCTACCTACTAATTATTCTTTTGCTCAAGGGCACCCGCTGTTTGTCAGCTTCATGCTGGGAAAATCCAAAACAGTATGCCACAGAATTAAATTTTTAATTAAGATCAGTTTCTCTTTCCCGAGGAAGAAAATGCTCAAAAACCAAACATCCTTTGGTCTGCGCCTTCTCTGCATAGCAACGTTCCTGCCTTCTGCCTAACAAGACGGGCAAAGACTAAGCTCACACCTTAGGGGAACAAAGGCAATCAATCTTGGAGTGCAGTGCAAGGGGCTTGGTTTGGCTGCAACAGCCATCTCACAGACCACCTCACAGTCACACATGATGGCATTATTTTACTTTGAAACGCTGGTGGAAATGAACGGTTGATGGTGAAAGGAAAATAAAATAAGGGGTCAGAATGCCCTTTCAAGTGCATCACGTCACCCGTGAAGGTGTCAGAGCGGCTGCTGGAAGTAAACCAAGATGGAGGAAATCAATCCAGAGCGAGCCAAAGAATTACGTGAGGAGGAATGAGGTGTCTTAAAAACCACAGAACTACACGCTCAAGGCAGGAAGAGTCCGCCACTGTCAACCCCGCATCGTCTGTGCAGGGCCATGAAGTGTGTCGGAGCCCATACTCGGCCCTTCATATTACAAGGCCAAAGGGAACGCAGTGTCTTTCTAAACTGTTTTTCTCCAGCGCCCCACACTTCACCACTGACCTGCTAACCTTAAGGTTTGCTAAGAAGGGAATCAAGACTTTTAGAAAAATCCCAGTTGGTGTTCAATGAAAACACACAAATAGGATGTGAGGAGCTGGGGACTGAGGTCCCCGACGCAGGCAAGACGTCCAGGGCCTATCTACCTTCCCCTCCGACAGAAGCATCAAGTCTTTACTGTTGGGCACACATCTGCAGCCAGCAGTGGTTGGCTCCTCTGCAGCACCAAAAGCAATTGGTCATGGACAATCTGACCACAGTGCAACTTCAGAAAACATAAGGCCGGGTGCCGTGGCTCATGTCTGTCATCCCAGCACTTTGGGAGGCCAAGGCAGGCGGATGACTTGAGGTCAGGAGTTCGAGAACAGCCTGGCCAATGTGGTAAAATCTCGTCTCTACTAAAAATACGCAAATTAGCCAGATGTGGTGGTGGGCGCCTGTCATCCCAGCTACTCAGGAGGCTGAGGCACAAGAATCACTTGAACCCAGAAGGCAGGTTGCAGTGAGCCGAGATGGCCCCACTGCACTCCAGCCTGGGTGACAGAGTGAGACCCTGTCACAAAAAAAAAAAAAAAAAAAAAAAAAGAAAGAAAAGAAAACATAAGGCATGGTACTACCACTCTTGAGAAGAAAGCGAACATTGAATTTTTTTCTCTGACAGATTTCAAAAGATTCATTGCAAAATGTTACATAAAGGGCCTATTGGAGGCTTGCCATGACATCATGTCACTGCTGCATTTGCGAAGCAGGGGCTGGGTTCCTGAGACGCTGACCTAAAGGGCCACCTGTCCTGGGGGGGCTGCACTAGGAAGGAAACAATTGCAGCCCTATAGGCACTTGGAGGCTGCTTAGGAAACAAAGCAGCGCTTTCTTCAGACCCTGAGCACTCCTTAGCACACGAGGGATCTGCTGGGGCTGCCGATGAGGACCAGCGCCCGCTGATGCCACAACAGGAAGGCACTTGGGCTAGAGCAGGGCTGGTGGGCCTGCCAGGATCTAGTCCATCCACACTGAGGCCAGGGACAGGAGCGTTCTGAGAACTGTAGAACCAACAGCACTGAAGTCCCCGGTGTCAGCAAATTGAAGCAAGCCTTAAGACAATCCGTTTCAGAATGAGGAGCCCCTGCTGCCTTAAATGCAACTGTCTCTCCTGCAGCTCTAGGCAGATATTCCAGAAAATCACATGCCTTCAAAATACTGGTAGAGTACAAGTTTTTGGTGGTAAGCATCCTCGATTACGGGTTGGTACGATCACGTGGGCCCTCTCTAAACCTGTAACACCTTGAACTGTCAAGTCAGGAGGTTCGATACTTGACGATCAGTTAGTCTGTAATGTTGGCACTGGGGTGGCCACTGGCCCTGTGTGGCTATTTCAATTTAAATGAACTAGAATCAAACTTAAAATGCAGCTCCTTGATGGCACTGACCGGCCACATTTCAATCACTCAACAGCCACATGGTGCCAGCCACGACCGCATTGGGCAGTGCAGACACAGGAGGTTTGTACCATCGAGAAAGTTCTATCAGGCAGTGCGGTGGTGGAAGCCCTAACTCCAGGTTCAAACCTCAGCTCCACCACTTACTGTGGCTCCTTGGGCAAGTTCTTCATGTCTCTGAGCCTCGATTTCCTCATCTGTGAAATGGGGATAACCATACCTACCCCTCCCCATGGGGCAGTTGTCAGGAATTAAGTAATGTTGTCAAGCACTCAGAACACGACCCGCACAGAGCCGAGCCAGCGCTGTATCGACACCATCACCACCAGTAAAGCACCATGCCTGCTGCTCCGTGCCCATCACAGCACCCGAGTGGCAGGGGCTGTCTTAACAGGGAGTAACTGAAACTGGGGGATTGTTCTGGAAATCTCCTGGTAACAACATTGCCAAGCCTGTGCCATTCATTCAACGCATACTTCCTGGACGGCTTCAATGGGCTTAAGACACCCTGCCAGTGCCGCGGTGACAAAGCACACAAAAGGCAGAAAGAGGAGGTTCTCTGCAGGCCAGTCTTGCGGAACCCCAGGCTTCTGAGACAGCACTGGGACTGAGAGATGCTTTGTCTCCCATGGGCGAGTGCTGCAGGGACAGCCCAGAGACCTTCAGGGAGGAACGGGGCGGGGGGCAGACACTGGGAAGGAGAGGGGCCCAGCCGACGACACCCCGTGGTCGCAGTGGGGATGGGTGTGTCAGACACCAATGAGAGAGAGGGCACAGTGACCACGGGGCCTTCCATCTCAGGACACCTCCCACTCATTGTACTTCATCTCCTAAGTTTAAAAACGAATACTTTTCCTGGTGACAAAAGTGTCTTCAAAGACCTAGAAGTTCTTCGTTGCTCTATCTCCTCATCTCAGACAGGAAAGACCGAAAGGATCCTGTCTCCTGGCCCCTGTCCTGTGCTCCAAGCACGCAATGAGGTTGGGGGTCAGTGGGGAGGAGTCCACGGGCCGCAGGGGATTTGGTGCTGTCAGTAGAAATGCAGAGGACAGAGACACCAGGCAGGCCCATGCCGGAGCCTGGAGAACAGTGAGAGCTCATCTGCTTTCCTTTCATGGTCAAATTAGAAAATACATACACACACATACAGAAATTAGACATATATGCACACGTATATACATACATACATAAACACACACACATGGAAATTAGACATATGTACCCATATATACCTACATACATAAACATACACACAGATACCACATATTTCACAACAAAGAACGTGGTTGTTTCAAAGTTCGACTTGCCCCTTCAGTCCTATGGTGGGTGGTGACTAGAGGGGAGTGGCTGGAAAGGGTGGCTGCAATGGACCACTTTTTACATACGCCAATTCGAAGCCCTAGATAATTTCACCAAAAGGGTAAAGTTCATAATAAATGATAAAAATTTTAATTTTATGGGCGGGCGTGGTGGCTCAAGTCTGTAATCCCAGCACTTTGGGAGGCCGAGATGGGCAGATCACGAGGTCAGGAGATCGAGACCATCCTGGCTAACACGGTGAAACCCTGTCCCTACTAAAAAATACAAAAAACTAGCCGGGCGAGGTGGCGGATGCCTGTAGTCCCAGCTACTCGGGAGGCTGAGGCAGGAGAAAGGCGTAAACCCAGGAGGCAGAGTTTGCAGTGAGCTGAGATCCGGCCACTGCACTCCAGCCTGGGCGACAGAGCGAGACTCCGTCTCAAAAAAAAAAAAAAAAAAATTTTCATTTTATGCCAATACTTGGTCATAGGGTAAATAGTTACATTTCAAAAATGATGGATGCCAAAGCTTGGCGAAGAAGCTGTCACAGAAGCTTTCCGTGACATCCTGCAAAGGACAAATCAACCCACCCACGAGATATAAGAGAGAGGAGGATGACGGCCTCTGCCCGGCACACGAAACACCACCCTAGCTGGGTGGCAGTCATGGCTGTCGTAGCTGTCCCAGGGGCACTCAGGGACTTGGACTCTAGTCCCAAGCTACCAGCTACACCTGGCCCTTCCCAGGAACACACCCAGAGTCACACTCCCTGTCTGGGCCCCAGGCAATGACCAGCGGCCTGGGAATGCAGGCTTGGGTGTGCACAGAGCCCCTCCCTTCCCACAGGTGAGGAAGGACAACTGCCAGGGCCAGAAGGAACCACTCACCACTTTGAGCTCCGGGACAGATCGACTCAGCGTCCATTCCTGGCTGTTCACAAAGGCATCTGAAAAAGAGGAGGACACAAAGTCAGACACCACAACTCACGTAAAGGCCAAGTCAAAGTACCTTCAATGGACCATTTTCCCATCCGAAGGTCACCGGAGATGGTGCAGACCAGCCTCCCTGTGTCACTCCCACTCCAGAAAGATCATTTGTCCCAGTTCATGACACTCAGCTAGATGCCAATGGGGTGTTCCAGCTCCAAGTCTGTGGTCGGTAACACATGCTCTGTCCAATGACTTCGAAAGTTACTGAAAAATCTAACTTTCCATTTTTCCCCTGCTCAAGCCACAGCCCTTCCTACGGAGGAGCATGTATCTTCAGACCCTCCTGACTGTGCCTGTTCACAAGTGTGGAGATATTTAAGGACACGCCTAGCTTTCTGGGAAGTGATTCTGTTAGAGCCAGTAGGTCCACTTTTGGTCTTTTGGTTGTCTACTACAATAGTCACTTTTCTGAAATCCCACACACACAGAAAAAAGTACGATGACTGAATGTGAAGATCTTAACACTCACAATGTAAGTAAACACTTTCGTGTTTATAAATAACAGATTATAGCTCAGAAGAAAGATCTGGTACTAGAATTTTGATCCCCACAAAGATATTAAACACTGAAGACCCAGCCAGGATGGTTTAGACTATGTCAGAAAGATGCAGGGCTCCTAAGCTCCATGGGGTGGTCTACAGAGCCCAGCCCTGTGCAGGGGCACTCTCCTGCCGCATCCCCTGATGGGCTGTGCACAGGGACCCACCCGATACAGATGACCCAAATGACCATGGCTTAACCTGCGACCCAGTTTTCCACACCGGCCACAAGCCAGCCTTAACATAAATGAGACCCCACGATAGTAGCCATGATCTGTCCTGATGACCACGTGGCAGCTCAGTCAACACAAGCCAAGTGGGCTGGACTAGAGGAAGGAAGTGCATCCCACTGACAGAAAAACAGCTCTTTCCACATGGGATACACTTCTGATATACTGTCCTCCAATGTTGAAACTCACTCGACATTAAGTCTAAGAAGTGACATGATTCGTAAGATGCCTAAGTTAAGAAAAGCCATCACCTTCAAAGAACTGTGTGATATGAGGACCACGTGGATGCAGGGCTGGAAGCCAAGGGCCTGACCAGACCACGGATGTGACACAGGAAGGCAAGACCAGCATCTGAAGGAGGCCAGGCACACCCTGGGGAGCACAATCCACCAGGTCACACGAAGGGGGAGCACAACCCACCATGTCACACGCTGGGGGAGCACAACCCATCAGGTCACACACTGGGGAGGGAGCACATCTCACCAGGTCACATGCTGGGGAGCACGTCCCACCAGGTC